GTTTCCCTTTACGCTTGATCTTTACGTGTTGCGTCCCGCGGAGCGCATCGGCCGAGAATTCTTCGCCGGGCCAGCGGCCGGCTCTTAACTGCGCCCGTAACGAGAACTCGCCTCGCAACGAGGGCTCTTCACGACGAACAATGGACGGCTATCCGAATCGTTAATTGCTTCCCCCGTTCCCCCCTGCGATCGTCCCAATTTCAGCTTTCGATTCGACCGTGCACGGATGCAGCTATCGGCCTGACGTGCGGTTCTTTTTATGAGCCTGGGAATGCTGGGAGGAGGTAGCAATTGGAAAGCGAAAGTTTAAGGATGGATTCTGTGATTTCGTAGATGTTTTCGGAGATTGATTATCAATTGTTCGAGGGAATTGGGGTTAGGTCTAACCTCTTTTGGAATCAAGCTTTAAGAGTTGCTTATGGGTTTCTGTCTTTAAAGGCTCAAATTTTTTCTGCTTAGTTGCTTCTATAACTTTTTTTGTTTTTTTGTTGATCTGTAACTTCAATGTATCTACTGAGAGTTGATTTGTTATTCAGTTTGCGTGTTGATAAGTTGATTTCTATAACCCTTAACCCCTTGTCCTACGAGTGAGACTCGTGAAGATTTTCAACATGATTCAACAGAGATATATATATGTAACATGCAATAGTAATGCAATTCAATCAAATGATTTAATATTATATTATATTTGATAATGATTTAATATTTAATATTATATTTCGTGTACTTTGTTCTATCAAATCGTGAGGTATTCAACGTGTCGAACATTATAAATGTAATTTAAACTTTTCCATTTCTCGCAATACCGTTCACATATTTTTGAGCTTACGTAAGGTTCACGACCTGCACTTTCAACTACAGTCGACTATACTCCACTCTACAGAAGTTTCGGTGGCCCTTGGATGTAACTGGGGCGAAAAAAAGTAGAATGCCCGAGCAGTAAAGGGGCTCGAAAGATCAGTGAAAGGAGCGGAGGGTCACTTGATAGGATTATAATGTCTCGGGTGGTCCTTGGAAATCCCTGAAAGGAAATGAAAGGGAACGACCGACTTCGGAATGGTAGGAAAAATCCCTAGAGATCTTTCGAACAATTCAAACGACGTTAGATCATTTCAGAATAATTTCACCTTTCAACCGGGCATTGTTCGAACGACTCGAGATCTATTCGATTGATACAGTGAACACTGGAGGATTGTACACTTCAATATTGAACTTAACACTTCGCGAAACGACGCTAAACTTGGATCCAGTTAATCACCATATTCCTCAAAATGGCGGTTCCTTTTTCCTTGGAAGCATTGAATATTCGAAATGATTTGAAAACGAAATTTCACTTGAATATTATAACGAATATAGGAAGAAATCGAAAGAAATCAATTTTTATAAGGAATCATGCATAAATTGAACAAAACTATTTCATTCCAATGTTTCACATACCGATGTGCCATTAATAATCCAGCGCAAAGAAAAGGATTTTATAAATCAAATCTTAATAACAGAAGTAATATTTCATTTATACGAACGTCAAATATTCGGTTCTTCGAATTCTATCGAAAATTCCCATCAAGTTCCCGACTCGATGTTATAGTGGTAGACTTCGGAAGGTGCAGTGGTCTAGAATAGCAGCTAAAAACATCTGAGAACATCTACTTAAGTGAGCCTCGGGGAATAGACAGGATAGCCAGCAAGTTCGACGTGTGGATTAATAGCAAGGTATTGTTGTCCCTGGATATTTTGGAAGTTCCCAACAGAATCCACGATTCTTCGGGCAGCCTTTGTGAGGCCGTGACGGTTATCGATCGGGGGATGAAACTTCGGTGAGAGATGGCTGAAATTAGGATGATAAATGTGCCACGACGCTCGCTGTAGCCGCTTAAGCACATGGCTTTCAGCACGCCGAGCGAGAGGTCCCGCAACGCCGGGCGAAAGCGGGTTCGAGGGGTCGATACGAAGGGTCACTATTATTGTCAACGTTCCCGATGTGTCTCCAATCTTGGGAAGAGCGCGGCAACATTTCTCGTTGGGATCCCGGAATTTTCTGCGATTTTGCAGGAATTTCGGTGTCTGCACTGTGAAAATGGCGCATCTTCGATTACGACGAAGATTTTAACCAGTTAACCCTTTGTACTCGAGAGGTGACTCACCACTTGACTTGATACAGCGAAATTATAAAGTTTTATATATAATAAGCTTTGTATAATGCATCGATACGTGGGATATTGAAATAAAATAACTTTCCTTCTTAATTCACATATGTTTTCTCATTAATTAGTTTCAAAGATCATCTGTATCCTATCAGAAATTAGTTAAATTAGTTTCAAACACTATCGTCTATGTCTCGTTGGAAGATGTTGGATATTTCTAGTGAAAAACTTTCGAGTGTAAAGTTTAACTGTGGAATCTAGTTGGAAAACCTCTCGTTCTGCGCGCAATAAAATAAAATGGAGCGTGTACTCGTCGAACGCAGGACGAATACGCAGATTATATTTTAATGAGAGATCAAAGCGAAACAAAGAATTACACGTTTATGTGAGCAAATAAAGAATTCATCGGTGAAAGGATTAGTATCGTGCCAAGCTTCACGATGACGTGTATACTCGTCAAGCACAGTTAACTGGTTAAAGCAAGTTTAATATTTCATTCGAATTCACAAGAATTCGGTAATATTTATTTTGTTAAACTTATCGTACATATATATAACAAATCGTACGTATATAACAACAGAATAACAAAATAAATATTACCGAATTCTTGTGAATTCGAATGAAATATTATTCTTTTCTTATCGATCACTATACTTACGATTATGTACGATTTCTTACTCAACTATGATCGATACAGCTACTTTATTATTAATAAATCATTGAAAATCAAAGAAGATCTAGGTACATTCTGTGGCAATGTTCGGTATAATCGATTACTGTACTTTGTGTCAAATATTGCTATAGAGTATACCTAGATTGTTTTTGATTCTCAGTGAATTATTAATGATAAAGTAGTTGTATCGCTCATGGTTGAGAAATAAATCGCGAGGCAAGGGGTTAAAACACATTCCGTTCCCGGAATTGCCCATCGTTCTCGCCCCATCCACGTTATGCAAATAACTTTAAGGCAATTACGCGCAGTCGATAAACAATGGCCGGGCTATTCCGACGCGAGAAAATCGAGCAACGCGGCGGGTCGGCGCGAGATCAATCACCAGTCTTCGATCTCGTTGGACGAGAAAGAAAATCGATCAACGTCGACTCGAGGTTAACCGCAACGTCTCAGGATTGACAATCTCGAGACGTTCTCTCGTATTCTAAGGAATTTCGGTATCAGAGATTCGTTTCGTTCCGCAATTATTAAGAAGATAACGGATATTTCTCTGAGAAATTGTTGGACCGTATCAAACTTTAGTAATTCATTTAAATTCAAGATTATAATCTATTTCTTCCATATTAACGAAAAGCTTTGGCTGAGAGAAATTGATAACAATGTTCTATTCATAATCAAATGGGTACATGGATAATGGTTGACTTGAAGTTATATTAACGTTGCTCACCGAGAAAATGTATGCATTAACCCCTTAGCCTATGATTTCTTTCTCAACTCTGATCGATACACTTTGTCATTAATAATTTATTGGAAAAAGAGAAACATTCTAAGCATATGTTATGCCTATATTTCCTTTTAAGTGTAATACTTGATTACAGACGAATAATATTTACTTTGAATTTGAATATCTACATATAATTTATGAAAATGCTTCATATATGGTGATTCACTATCAATCGCAGTCAAGGGCATTTAGAAAGTATTTACTTTCCCAAAATCAATAAAGTTACTCTCTTTTTTCATAAGTGCCTCAGAAACTCATCTGAGACATGCCAAAGCCATGCATTGTCCTTCATTCCTCTAATAATCTCCGAGGATTACCCAGGTTCATTTTCAATCAGGGACCCTTTATTACTTCCTGGTGATCTTCAAGAACCGTCTAATCTAAGCTATTCCAGAGCACCGTCCTAACCCTTGGTCCCTTTCAGCTATCATCAAGCACATGAAAAAAGTTTAGGGGATTAGGAAAGGGTGTTCCCAGATAGCAAGAGGGCTGAGAGGGTGATAATAAGTCAACTAAAGGACAGATGAGACGTGGATGACCGTGGGGCTTGAAAAAACTGATGGACAGTGACTTATTTCCTTAATGACTCTGTGATGCTTCATTATTCTTATTAACCTCTTGCTTCATCGTATTAAACTTGCGGAAACTTCGAACAGAACAAACATGATTATTACCCCATTCTTTGTCATTCAAATATTCTTTTCTTATCAATCATTACATTCCATAGAAATTTTCCGTTGTTTACGTTATTACTGACAAAGTAATCGATTGTTGAAAAGAGAACATAGGACAGAGTTAACCCTTTGAACTCCGTAGGCTCCAATATTGCACCAGTTGTAATATCAAATATTTTAACGAATCAAAAAAATTACTCTAAAATTATTCAATTTTCCACACATCCAAATTTTCTACTGAGAAGGAAAATAAATAACCGAAGAAATGTTATAGCATTTCTCATTGTCATTAAAGATACTATAAAAATTAGTTGCAGTCACTGATAAATTACAAAACCATCTGGAGTGCCAAGGGTTAACAGAAAAATAGTTCCTTCGGATCTCGAAACCTACATCTTCAAAATCAGATCATTAAGATGCGCGTTCCGCGATTTCTCAACGAAAACCACCGTAAATTCACCGGATACCTACGAAATTCGACGTGGAGATCGACGCGGTCCATAAACCTGGCGTTAATAACGTATAAAATGACGTCCCGCGCTGTAACGTTGCCCCGACCGTCAAGTTCCCCGAAGTTTTCCCCCGAATTCGACGGTTTCCGCTGAAGAAGCGCATTACAATGTTATCGACCGGCGTAAAAGTAATAAAGGGGAGGCTCCGTTGTTCGAACAGCGAGGCGATCGCGCGGACGTAAGGTGTCTAATAAAAAGTTACGATGATTTCAGAGGCACAGTATCCACGGCATGAACGAGGAAGAGAACGTCGTCAGGCCGCACCAGGAAATGGCCAGCCTGTCCTGCCATGAGAAGAAGTACCTTCTCGCGGTGGAACGCGGCGACGTGGCCTCCGTCAGACGGTGAGACTTCCAACTTTTAGAAACTTCGGAATTTATGCCGCCGAACGCCGTCCCGGGGTAAAAAAAACCACGCGGCGGAGGAGAATCCATTTAGGGAGGGCTACAAGATTCGCGAAGTTTAATGAGAAACCAGTTACATGAATTACAAATCCGACGGTTTTTCCTGATTTTCACCATTAGCGGAGCGGAAGTTCGGAGCGAGCTCCGTGGAAATATGCTGTAGAGTGGTTTAGAAGAAATTTTAGCGAGAGATGAGATCAGGAGTTTCTTTTGGGAATTAAGGGAATAATAGTCAATCAACCCTTTCGATCTGAGGTATTTTGCAATTTTTATGATTACTTGATCCTATTACGCTCGGTAATTCTAGTGTTGATATTGTTGAATAAAGTGATCGAATATAAGTTCAGAATGTTTGTGGTAGTATGGAATTGCTGGTGCTGCAACGGTTGATTTATAAAATTTCATGTTTTCGAAGTTAATCTCAGTTTAGCTTTTAACCCTTTCGAACGAAGATTCTTTGAAATATACAAAATATTCAGCGGATGAAGCTAAATTATATATCGATTGCTTAGATAATTGAAGAAAGGAAACTACGTACTGACTTCTTGCTGTTCGAGTAATTAAATCACCCCTTTGTGACTTAGCATTCCAAATAATTCGATTCCATTTGAAAACTGAATTTTTCTATTTTTACAAAGACAAATTTTAACCCTTTAACGAAGGTTCTGTGAAATGTACAAAACCTTCGACAGATGAAGTTAAATTATATATCTATTGCTTAATTAATCGGAAAGTGGGAAATTACGTACTGACTTCTTGCTATTCGAGTAATTGAATCACCCCTTTGTGACTTAGCATTCCAAATATGAAAATTTCATCTCGCCGAAAATCATTCGTCCGCAAAGAGTTAATGTTGTTAGTCGGATGGGAAGGATTCACTGGATATCATAGTATGTGTATTTCTCCGACGTTCCCCCAAAGGAGTACTCGTGATTGCTTGTTAGGCGAATCCCTCGGATTGATAAGACCAGACGAGCGTTTAATCATTCGCAAATAAGACGCACGTGCGTCCGTCCGACGTGTGTTTCCCTCGTTACCGGCGTCCGTGGGCGAGCACGTGTCTGCCGAAAAGAGCACACGTGCTAGACGGCGAGCAACGTGCAACGTGTGTGCGAAATTACGAACTATACGGATCAAAATTGGGAATGGACACGGTAGTAATGATTGCATTGCAGTTTCTCTGTGTTTGGAAGCGTCTTCGAACTAATGATACGCAGAATTAAGAAAATCTAAAGATATTACTGTGAGACAAAGAAAAATGCGAGTTGAATGAGTTAGAAGGAAAATTCATAGAAGCAGAGTTAAAAGGTCACGATCAAATTATTCGAATTTATATCAATTGAAGTAAAATTCTTTGTAATCGATATTAGATCTCTAAAACAAATGTAAGATCCTAATGATTCTAGACTCTCTTCCTCTCAAAATATTAACACTAGAACTGCCAGACACTTCAAAATGGCTGATTTCAAAATTCTTCGCCATTATTGACACAAACTACCGGACGTTCAAATTTATTTTGTAAGTACTCAAATTACGAAGGCGCGTTTGCGACAGATTTTTCATTAAATTTATGTATCAGATACAATACTAGGTGATCCTTCGAATCTCAAGGAACGTATTGTTCTAATTTCTATAGAAAATTCGAATTAATCTAATTCCTCGGCAGTTTTAGTGTTAAGATGACAAACATTCTCCGTAAGAAGTTTCAAGCTAAATTCCCGCATTTGTGGAAGTGCAGCGATAAGAAGCTATTCGAACCTCTAGAAATCTGCTCTAATTTTTATAACAAATTGTAAACAGCTGTCTTCTTACTCGGTGATTCTAGCGTTAACAACAAAGCGCCTTTCGCGAAAAGAACCTCGCAGTTCCTCTGTAAATTCCAACTGAAACACTAAATTCAGGCCTCGGTGCAGCGAACACGTCAGCCTCCGTTCAGAATTGAATTCCCGAGCGAGTTCCTATGCGTCGCGCGATCACGTATACCGGAAACAACGAAAGTTGAGCTGAATCACATAATGTCCCGCCGCCTAAATGGCTCGCTGATTCCAGGTCTCGTCACGCCGCGCCGGGCGGTTCGTGTAAATGGACTTTTACTGTACTTCGAGGCTCGCGGACTATAAATTTTAGGGGCGCACGAGAACACAAAAATATAGAGCAGTCGCGACGAAGGTGGAACCTCGATTATCTGAGTGAATTAAAAGCAACATCGTGCGGGTAATTAGATGTAGCTCGAATAACCCAGCAGTGAAACGAATGAAACGAATGTATCACTATAATTTGAATAATTAATTTCTTTTATTCAAAACAATTTTAATTTTATTATACATTTTATTATTTATTAATATATATTTATTATTACAATGTTATATTTATTTAATTTTATTCAACAAAAAAGTTGTAACAGTTTATTTTAAGATTCTTCAGACATTCATTATAGTACTGAAATGAAACTTCTTTAAAGGTTTTGCACATTCCAAAGAATCTTCGTCCGCGAAGGGTTAATCACGCTTCCAAATATCTTTATCCGACGTCAATGTTATCATTCTAATTGCTTAACACTAGAACTACCGAGCATTTAATACGATTAATATGCAATTCCCATAAAAATTGTAACAGTTTATTTTCAGTTTCTTCAGACATTCATTATACTAAAATGAAATTTCTTTGAAGGTTTTGTACATTTCAAACAATCTTCGTCAATTTTAAACTTCTTTGAAAGTCCCCAAATTAATGTCCACATCAAAGATCATTATCCCGTCGATTTCGTAACGTTCCCAATCTGTTCCCAATATTGTCCGTAGTTTCCTCCAGTGAATCGCGAAGCCCGGGCCGCCGAAAATTAGAGTACCGTTCCCATCGCTTTCGAGCGCGCCGCGGACAAAGAGCGCGCCGCGCGGAAGTAGGCGCCCGTTGTTTCTATGCAAACGAGTATACAGCGGCGTGGGGAAGCGCGTATATCACCGGCCGGGATGTATGTAGGTCTCGCGCGCGATAAAGAGAACGAGAAATCCCGCGGGGGAAGGTCAAAGGCGCGGCAGATGTGTCCCAGTACGGCCGCGACAAAAGATCTAATTATCAAACGAGCGATTCCGTGGCGATTCCGTGATCCCGTAGCTTCGTGGAATTCTTGACGCGCCGGCCGGCTGCTCCCGGCGTAATTAATGCCCGATTGCGACGCGCCGCGAAGTTTCAGCGGCCGTGGAATTCTCATTTGGCTCGGTCTCGTAAACGGGACCGAACCGGATAGAACACGGCTTTCGCCGGGGACGCGGTTTGTTCGCATAATGGAGGGGACAACGGGCGTTCCGCTTGAAAAATGTGTACGGGACCGAGCGCAGGTCGTGCTCAGGGCGGCGGACTTGCCCCAGATTGTGGGATCGGGAAAGAGGTCCTGGTTATCGTGAGTCTTGAATATTTTAGTATTTCTGGGACTGGCTTTGTTATGGTGTTGTACTGTAATATTGAATTCTTTGAGTTTTCTTTAGTATTCTGCTATTATTTTATTGGATTTCTTGAGGTTTCTTTGATCTTATGGTACTGTGATATTGGAGTCCTTGATTTTTGATGGGGTTGTACTGTAATATTGAATTCTCTGATTTTCGTTTAATATTCTGGTAATATTTTATTGGATTTTTGGAGTTTTCTTTGATCTTATGGTACTGTGATATTGGAGTCCTTGATTTTTGATGTTGTGGTACTGTAATAATAAAACAATTCCATACTACAGTACCATATTATTAAATAATAAAAAAATCCAACACGATAGTGTTATAATATTAAACAAAGATCAAAGAATTCAATGTTCTATTCTATTTTTTGTAATAAATTAGAATATTGAATGTTTTGATTCTTTAACATTATGGTACTATATCGAATTCCTTCATCCTTGTTTAATATCATAGTACCACCATATTAGATTTTTTCTAATTCTTTAAATTACAGCACTATCACATCGAATTCCTTACCAATTCGTTAACACCGCACTATTACATCAGAATATTAAATAACTACAATTATGAAAATAGATCTGAAATATTGCAACATTAACCCTTTACGGACGAATGTCATTTCGGCGAGATGAAGTTTTCATGTTTCGAAGCCTAAATCAACAAATAATTTAATTACTCAAACACCAAGAGATCACGTAGTTTCTCCTATCATTTAAGTAACTGATACATAATTTAGCTTCATTTGCTGAATATTTTGTATATTTCAAAGAAAAGGGTTAAGATAAACACGTTTCTACCGCCAGTAGAATCAGTCAACACTAGTCAGACGCATTAGCCGTCCACTGTTCCACTTTCCCCATTCATTTCCTTCCATTGCGAAAGTGCAAAGGGTTGAATACTTCTGTTTACTATAAATTGCTAATGAAACAGTGATCAGCGGCGTCCGGACACGTTGTTCCAGGATGCTCCAGGGTGCGCAGAAAACCGAAATGAACATCAATTGCGTGGATCCTCTGGGGCGGTCGGCCCTTCTGATGGCGATCGATAACGAAAACCTAGAAATGCTGGAGCTGCTGCTCGAGCACAAGGTCGACACCAAGGACGCGCTACTCCACGCCATCTCCGAGCAGTTCGTCGAGGCGGTCGAGGTCCTCCTGGAGCACGAGGAGACCCTCCACAGGAACGGGGAGCGTCACGTTAGTCGCATTCGCAAGTTGCCCACAAATGTTTCACGATCCTCTTGTCTAGGGACTCGAAACCGCGGATCGTATCGAACTCCGCTAATAGTACATTAACACTCGAAACTTTCACTAGAAACTATTTCACTATTTATAACATTATGACATTTCACTATTTCAAACTCTATAACATTCTATAGAAAATAAAGTGACAGTCGCCCTCAAGTGGTTAACAATTCAAACAGTAACAATTGGAACAATTCAAATTTCTCCATTTCAGAATATCTGTTTCACAATATTCAAATTATCACGACGTTTACTAAAATCGTAAAAAAATTTGCCTATTCGGATACAATCATAAGGAACCTTTCAAATCTCGAGAAGTATACTGTTCTAATTTAACACTAGGTTTACGGGCATTTATTGTACTTCATTATATTCCTAAAAGAATCGATGTTCGTTTATTTAGACTGTGGAAACTGGAGATTTGTTAGTAGGTAATTGGAGCACATGTCAATGTGATAAAACAAAAATAATATTTCTGAAATCTATAGTGATCCCGGACGAGCCCCCAAGTTTATAGTGGGGCTACTATTATTATAGATATTAAAAAGGTGGATCTTCGGTAAAAAGAGAATTAGGAATAAATATATATGTATTTAACGAGATAAAGAAACAATATGGACAACACGTAAAAATACAACTTAATACCACGAAGGCCAACACACGACTCTATCACGCACAAAAATGTTCGCTGTCTCTCGCCAAAATGTCCTCGCACGCATTCCCACTCGCTTTTAACACACACCCCCATTCGCTCCGTCTTTCTCACCCTTGCGCCCTTCTCGCTCGCATCTTTCATCCATAGTCAAAATTCACGCAGTCGCGTACACGCTTTTCTCACGGTCCAGTCGCTCGGTTCCAGACACTCTTCCTCGCATTCTTTCAGCCACTCGAGATTTTCTAAACGCAGTCGCACTATTTCCCAATCATCCCGGCGCCGGTCCGTCGCAATACGACCTGGTTAAATATTCTAGATACTACAATAATGTAATTGCTGTTTGAAACAATTTATAAAGAGAATTTTCATCTGAAGGAATTTATGTTACCTTTCGCTGTGGCCATGTCGAACGTACATATTCTAGATACTACAAATCCAATATGCGTCAATTCGACGCGTTCCGTAAACCTAGTGTTAAAAAAACCTCGAAATAAGTTATTCGAATAACTCGGTAGTTTTCGTATTGAATAAATACTAAGCCTAAGTCAAACGAAAAACAAAGGTGGTCCATATAATACTTAAACACCGAACCTGCATCCTCGGAGCGTACAATTCGACGGCTCGATCTGTTTTCCTTTATCCGTGCCTCGATTCTCGAACGACGGACGACGGTGAGCCCCGTAATTGCGTCACGATCGTGGACCGGCAATCTCGTTTCAGTTATCGAAATTCCTCCGTCGGATTCCCGCGAACGGATGACGGGACTAAGCAGATTCCGCCGGCAAATAGGTCGAGCCACATTTTAATCGGGCGACTGGAAAAAGTTCCAACGTGGACGGACTTATTCGTCGGACGGCCACGCTAAACTGTCCTCTCTTTCTCTCTCTCTCTCTCTCTTTCTCTCTTTCTCCGTTTTTCTCTTTCATCTTCGACGAAAGCTCCGGAACGACGTGTCCGAGCGTTCGCATTCGGAGAATGGGAAAAAGCGGCGACGGAGGCGCAAAGCGACGCGGAAGCGCGGAGGTTTTAAATTAATCGGCTTCCTCCGGGAAGCGGCTTAAGGGGAACTTCGGGAATAATTGTTGGACCGACCTGTGCACCCGGCGAGATGTTTATTTCGATGGATCCGGGAGGAATAAAGCTTCTTGTTAACATTGTTCGGTGTAGCTTTGAACGTTTCGGGGATGATTTCGGAACTAATGGAATTATTCGGGCTGTCGGTGGGTAAGATGTTCGATGGTAAATGTTTGTTCTAGTGGGCATTGTGGATTTTGATTCTAATGTTGGATTTTGAAACTTATTGATCACTAGGTATGTAGGTTTCTGAATGTTTAAGTTTGCAAATGTTTAAGTTTTCAAGTATCTGAATTTCTAAGTATCTATATCTTCAAATATCTGAGTTTCCAAGTATCTAAATCTCTAAATATCTAAATTCCCGAGAATTCCAAATCTCCAAGTATTCTAAACCTCCAAACATCAAGATTCCCAAATTTGAAAATTTCTAAATATCTGAATTTCCAAGTATCTAAATTTTCGAGTATACCAAATCTTCAAATATCTAAATTTCCAAGTATTCCAAATCTCCAAATATCTAAACCTCCAAGTATTCTAAATTTCCAAACATCAAAATTCCCAAATTTACAAATTTACAAGTATTCTAAATCTCCAAACATCAATATTCCTAAATTTGTAAATTTCCAAGTATTCCAAATCTCCAAGTATTCTAAATCTCCAAACATCAAAATTCCCAAATATCTAAATTTCCAAGTCCTAAA